GGGAGAGGGAGAAGCAGGCTTCCCGTGGAGCAGGGAGCCCGATGTGGGGCTCGATTCCAGGACTCTGGTATCATGACCTGAGCCGAAGGCAGACGCTTAATGACTGAGCCACCCAGGCGCCCCTGCCTAGTGAATTTCTTGGTTGCTAAATGAAACCCTTCAATATCTGACATCTATCTATTTCTCTAGTTTCAATTCTTCCCACCCCTTGGTTGCAGTTACTAGCACTTACCTATTTTTGTTCACAATGTTCCATTGTCCAGAATATCCTTCCCTTCTCTACTCTTTTGGTTTAATTAACATCTAATTATTTAAGACTCCTACTAAGCACTATCTCTTCCACAAATCTAGCCTGATCCCCTCAAACTAGATCAGGTAATCCTCCTCCAGTCTTCCATGATTTCCTCTGGCTTGACCATATCCCTATTATATTTTATTGTGATTGATTTATAATGGTTATCTCTCTCATACATCAATTCTTTCACTGAATTAATTTATTTAGAGATATCTAGAGTATCTACTATGTGTCAGTTACTTTAAACAATGGTACATGAGCTTATTGCAAGCAGGGACATTATCTTACACATCTTTGTATTTTTTGGTGCTTATACAAAGTCTGGTACATAGTAGATAATTCAAAAAATGTTTAGTGAATAATTGAAGAGATGGATGCATGAATATTTGATATCAGGAGCATTTTAAAACAGCACTCATGAGGTGCCTGGGTGGCTCAGTCAGTTACGCATCTGGTCATGATCAGGTCTTGATCCCAGGTTTCTGGGATCAAGCAACATGTGGGGCCCCCTGCTCAGTGGGGAGTCTGCTTCTCCCTCTGCCCCTCTACCCACGTGTTCTCTCTCTCAAATAAGTAAATAAAATCCTTAAAAAATAATAAAAAATAAGAAAACAACACTCATGAATTTAAGTAATAAATTCAAGTATAGGGAAAAGAGCGTACAACATAAAACAGAAAGACAATTTAAAAATTCAAGGGACACCTGGGTGGCTTAGTCAGTTAAGCATCTGCCTTCAGCTCAGGTCATGATCCTGGGGTCCTGGGATTGAGCCCTGCATCGGGCTCCTTGCTTGGCAGGGAGCCTGCTTCTCCCTCTCCCCCTGCTTGTGCTCTCTCTCTCTCTGACAAATAAATAAAATCTTTAAAAAAATTCAATTAATTGTATAATGATATAATCTGACAGTTTTACTCAACAAGGGATAAACTTCAAGAAGAGACAAAATAGTTAAGCTATTTGGGGGAAAATACTATGAAATCATTTTTCATTTTCCAAATGCTTGCAGCACATAGCACTGTGCGAGCACTTATATTCATTATCTCTCTTTAAAGCATGTTGTTGAACAGAAATAAATATTAAATGCCTACAACTCCTCCACTTCCCTCAAAAGCCAAAAGTAATGAGAAATTGAATGTAAAAAGCTAATGTAGTAATGGCAGCCAAATGAAGTTTAGTAAGATATGATTGAATTAATCCAAAAAGATTCCAGATGCTAAGTTCAGAATACTTACTTAGTATTGCTGTTTAACTGCATCCAACAGACAGGATCCATGTGGCAATATACCTGTTGTCATATACTTTGTGTTCAAAGAAGGGAATGAGAGAAAATCTGTTAGCTGAGAAGTTCCAAGTAAGTCAGGCAAGAAAATTTATGTCCTACTCTATAAATTATTTTCTAAAAGTTAGTAATGCCTCAGAAAATTTTTTTAAGGAAAAAAATATTAACCCACTTTTCTAGTTGGCCAAGTTAATTAACTTCTCTCTAAAGCTTCAGTTACCTTACCTATAAAATGGGATAATAATAATGCCTACAGAAAATATTGTGTAGAAGAAATAATTTTATAAGTCCATGTTAGTGCTCAGCACAGTATCTGACACGTAGTAGGGCTCAATATTAGTATCAAGTAATAGTAAATGTTAATAGTATTTAATATTTAAATAATAATACAATTTAAATTTTTGTAGTATTTTAAATTTACAATATTAATATTGAGTATAAATATTAAATATTTAATAATTACCCAGTGGGGTAGATGCTATTATTATTCCCATTTTGTCAACGAGGAAGCTGAAGCACAAAGAGGTTAAGTGACTTCCCTGGGCAATTTGGCCCCAGCACCCACAGTTAGATCTATTATGTTATTTTGTCTCTCACATGACAATCTTAGGAAATTTATACTGAAAATATTTGATAGTTTAAAGAAAATCTAAACTAAGGAATTAGATCAATTGCCACAAGACATCAAGTGAAACAATTCATGGCATCTATTCAACTGGGAAGGTCAGGTCCCTCTATAAAACTAGGTCATTTCCTAGAAAAGAGAAGGGAAGGGGAGAGAGAGAATGACACAGAAGAGAAAAAATCTGAGAGAGTCAGAAAAAGAGACGAGAAAGAGCCCAGGAGCAAGGAAGCAGGCAGGTAGGTAATAGGCAGAAAGGGAGGTGAGACTTGGAAGCAGCATTGAGAGAGAAAATTTTCACCTTTTTAGATGAAAGGTAATCAGACAAAGGGCTTTCAAAAAGAACTACAGAAGAACTTGCTCTGGAGATCAAAAAAATAACCTTCATGTAACTACTTTTTATAACATTATATATTTATTACATACTCACCCTTGGCTCCTTTCCAACTTACTTGGCTATAATAGTCTCCTAATGATAAAGAAGGAAAAAATCTGAATCAATACCTGATATGGCATCTGGATCTTCTCCATGTAGAAGCTTCTTAAGTTTCTTACAACCAGATCCAATAAAGTAACTGGATTCTACACAAAAACAGGTATTTTCAAATATTTAATATGAATTTTTTTCTAGCCAGGAATCCAACATAAAAAAACTCTCAATATTTTTGACCAATGAGTAGGGGAAGAGGATTGCAGATGGGGAGAGGGGGCGGGTAGCAGAAGGCCTCTGAATTATAAAGGGTATAAATACTTGAAACTTTTTTAGAATTCTTCAAATTCTATTTTCTACTTTCATGTATGTACTTTAACTGAAACTAGGTTAACCAATCCTTAGTGTAATGCTCTCCTATAATAGTGAAAATTATTTGTACTTCCATAATAACAGTGGTCTAAATAATCTTACATTGTAATTACATGGTCCATATATAAATGGTTGCTTTAAAATACATTAAAACTTTATTATCTTAAAAAGATAAATATCCTTTTCCAGTTTGGGTACACAAAAGTAATCCTAGATTATGTATCTGGGGTAAATAATCCATCAGCTAATATTGTTATACAGGGCACTCTCTAGACATACTAATGCTGAACCTCCATGTCCACACAGCTCTTTTATCCTGGACCCTGGAATACCTACCCATTAGCTTCAAGTGTACTGCCAATTTCCAGTCATGGAGCTGTCCCCATTAATTCGTTCTGTCATTCAGTGAAAATTCCAGGCACTGTCCTAGGTGATGAATAAACAGACCAAGTTTCTGAAGTAAAAAAAAAAAAAAGGAAGAAGAAAAAAGAAGAGCTTCTGAATTCATGAAACTTACATTCTCTTGGGAGAGAAAGACAATTTAAAAAAATCAGCAAATACATAATATAATTTCAGGCAGGGTTAAGTGCCATTAAGAAAGCATAAAGCAGGGTAAAAAGCTAGAGCGAAGAAGATGGGTAGTTTTAGGGAAGGCTTCTGTGTTTCTGAGAGGGTAGCATTTTAAGCAGAGGCCTTAACAGGTGTGAAGGAATAAGCCATAAGAAGGTTCGGGAGAAAAATGTTCCAGACAGAGTAGACAGCATAGGTAAACCATGTAACAGGGAAAAGCTTGGCATGTTTGAGAGCCCCTATCATAAATAGCCCTATCATCCTCCCTGAAATACCCCATCCCCGGTCTCCAGAAGCCCTTCCCCCTGCTTCCTGAATCCCACCCCCACTTCCTCCAGCCCGTGTCAAGTTCTTTTGTGGCTTGTTACAAAATTTGAACCAGTGAGTTTCTCTATGACACTGCTAGTTCTGACAAGACGGGGAAGTAAAAAATGAAAAACTTCTTTTGTACTTCTCGGCCATAGGTAGGAAAGATAATTTATTTGCCCAGAGGAGGAGGCAGGGTGAGAAAGAAGAATGTGCAGAAGTTAAGTGATAAGGAAGAGGAAGGCAGAGGAAAATTTCATTCTAAATTCCTAGTTGGAATCTGGGGGCTATTTTACAAGTAAATCATACACACGAATTTTGGTTTAGTGACAGTAGAATTAAAGATTTATGTAACCTGGGCCCTAACCTCCCTTTGTTATTATTTTGATGAAAAACTAGGTACAGAATAACAACTGACTTAAAAATGAGTTTTTAGAATATATTTCATTCAAAATTCATAAATGGGGTGGGGCACCCGACTGGCTCAGTCAGCAGAGCATGCGATTTTTGATCTCAGGGTTGTGAGTTTGAGCCCCACACTGGGCATAGCATTTACTTAAAACAAAACAACAAAATTTATAAATGGGGGACAGCTTCCATTATATATACTTAAAACCATATTTTTCTCTGAAATAATGGGAAAGAAGCTTCAGTTAAGGTTGACAGAACTGCTACAAAATTTGAGCGAATGTGTTTCTTGTGACAACAGAATTTGTTTAAACAAAGAAATTGAAGAAGGAACAATTCTTGTAGAGGCTTTAGAGACATAACACCACTAAAAGTGTCACTGCCTGGTACTAAAATACAGAGCGAGGCTAAAAGACAATCTTTTTCTGAGATATTTCAAAAGACATCAAGGATCTGACCCTATCTTACTAACTCTATTGCTACTCTTCTGCTTCAAGTCACCGTATCTCTTGCCCAGATTATTACAACAGCCTCCGAAAAGGTGTTCCCACTTCTACCCTTGCTGCTGTACAACACATTCTCAACATAAAAGACAGGATTATTTTTATAAATGTCAGTCAAATCAGGCTGCTGTTCTGCTCAAACCCTCCAGTGATTCCCCATTTTATTCCAAGCAGAAACATCTCTCCAGTGACTTATAACGGCCCCCACCTCTCTGACCTCATCTCCTACTACTCTCCCCTCTGCTCACTGCTTCTTGCTGTTCCTCAGCACCCAGGCATGCATCACCCCTAGGTCCTCTGCACTAAGAACCATTCTCTCTGCCCAAGGACACTATCCTACCCTCCCAGCCATTTGGTTGATTCTCTCTCCCCCTTCCAGTCTTTGCTCAACTCTTACTTTCTTAGTGAGGTCAATCTTGGCCACCCTAATACTGTAAGTTCGTGCTCACCCTCACCCTAGCACCCTAAATCCCCTTAACCAGCTCTTTCCCCCTTTTTGTTGCAAGTATTGCCTTCTATAAACTATGACTTGATTTATTGTGTGTATTTTTTTATTGTCTTGTCCCTCACTTGGATATAAGCTCCTCAAGGGTCTGCATCATTGTGTTTTGTATGCTTATGTATTCTAACCACCTATAACAGCATCTGGCACATAGTAATGCACCAGAAATGGGTTGAAGAAATGAATGAATATGCTTGCAAATATTGATAGTGTTTTAAGTCTGTTTCCTTCTTCTTAGTGGGTATGGGAAAACAGCATTCCTTCAAACTTTGCACATTACAGGCACTCAGTAAATTATTTATTTAAGTGAATGATTTGCCTTTTTGCTGTACGAAAATAGCTTAGTAATAAATGTGCCCAGGCAAAATGCCAGAGATACCTTGAATATCTCAGAGTGATACTTCAGTAAAAACCAGACTAGTTGTTCTGCCCATACTTTTAATAATGATCTCGTTTGCAAAACTGCTTTGACAAGAGTTTTCAGGACCACTGTTTTGTTATCATACTGTAAACAGAAAGATTAACCTTAACTTGAATGATTTTTTTAAAAAGACCAGAAAATTGTAAAACTGTTATTGTAATTTTTTTCACCTGTTTCTGTAACTTGAGGGTATTAGGTTCTGATACAATAGGCATAAAGGTAAGTAGCCCTCATAATTCTCTAATGTTCTCTAATGTAACAATCTTAGATACAGTATGTTGCTTCAAGTGTTTTAAGTTGCTTCATTGGATACAAAAAAATGGAGATTGTAATACTTGGTAGTCAATTATAACACTATGATGCTATATTTGGTTTGTGGATTCTTTTTTACACTAAGAAGTTTTTACGGTAAAATATTTCAAACACACAGGAAATTATTTTTATAATTCTATAGGCCAGGGGTGCCTGGGTGGCTCAGTCGGTTGAGTGACTGACTTTTGGTTTTGGCTCAGGTCATTGATCTCATGGGTCATGAGATCGAGCCCCCTGCCCGGCTCAAGCTAGGCAAGAAGTCTGCTTGGGATTCTTTCCCTCTTCCTGTCTGCACCCCCAGCCCCCACCCCGCACTCTCACACGTGCCCACACACTCTCTCTCCTCTCTCTTTCAAATAATAAATGAATAAATCTTTATAATTCTATATACCAAACACCTGCATAATTACATCCAGCATTATCAAATAGTATTTTGTTTTTAACATGAAATTACATGACTACCTACATAGCTAAAAAAGTGACATGATTTATGTCACTCAATTTTTATTTTGGTAAAAGATCGCCAAATTAATACTTCAGAAATTAATATTTCCAAATACCTCAGCTCTCTAATCCTATGCTATATTAAAATATGTTTCTTACAATGCCCCTGTGATATAGTTACCTTAGATCTAATGTCCTATACTATATTAGTTACATTTGATAGTGCAATTTACATGGCAGATAACATTAGTGAAGTGAAAAAAGACTTCATGAAGCACTTGGACACCACTGAAGAAAAATATTAAAATGTAGTACTCAGTTTCTTAAATGTTCCGCTATTTGTTTTTGTTGTTGTTGTTTGTTTGTTTTTTTAAGTAAGCTATACGCCCAATGTGGGGCTTGAACTCATGACCCTGAGATCAAGATTCATATGCACCACAGACTGAGCCAGCCGGGTGCCCCATGAAACTTGTATCTTTAAAAATATTTTAGGCACACCTGCGTGGCACAGTTAAGGGTCTAACTCTTGGTTTCAGCTCAGGTCATGATCTCAGGGTCATGAGATTGAGCCCCACGTCGGGCTCTACGCTCAGCTCAGAGTCTGCTTGTCCCTCTCCCTCTGCTCCTTTCCCCACCTCTGCTCTCTCTATCTCTAAAATAAATAAATAAAATCTTTAAAAAATATTTTATTGTACAAAAAACTAAAGTTTAAATATCTTCTTTTACCTAAAAGTTCAATAAGTCCTAACTGAATATCGGAATACTCATCAGTTAATAGGCAATCTCTCTCTTGATTATAGTATTTTACTACAACATCAAAGAGTATCTTCTTCTGTATACTCAATCCTGTCTTTTCCATTTTGTACTAACTGCTGAATAACTGTTAACTATAACTGGTCAGGGAAATAGCCAAACATTTAATTGCTGCATTAATAAACCAGTTGTCAACTCCAGAGGTAAAAACAAAACAAAACAAATCAATAGTTAACATTTCCATTTAACTACCTAAAAACTGTTTGATAAAATATAAAGTGTAGTTTATATTTAACCAAATCTAAAGAGACTACTTTTGAGAGTATAATTTTAATAATTTTTGCTGGATGATTACAGGAGTAAATTAGAGGGAATAGCTTTTTTTCTTCACCAAATACCACCACAGCTTTGTGTACCTTTATTTTCAAGGAATTAAAATATTTTTTGCCCCCTTTTCATTATTTCTAGTTTTCTTTTTTTTAAAGATTTTATTTATTTCTTTGACAGAGAGAGAGAGAGACAGCGAGAGAGGGAACACAAGCAGGGGGAGTGTGAGAGGGAGAAGCAGGCTTCCCGTTGAGCAGGGAGTCCAATGCGGCGCTTGATCCCAGGACTCTGGGATCATGACCTGAGCCGAAGGCAGACGCCCAACGACTGAGCCACTCAGGCACCCCTCTAGTTTTCTTAGATTTTGTTCAGAGGAGTTCATCTGCACTGTTCAATTCCATGAGTGATTCCCTTGCTTTTCCCACTCCAATAATTAGGTGCATGTGGTTCTATTATTATTTGAAATAAAGATACCAAATATTTCCCCAAACAAGATGCACTTCTATTCCACCACATACTGTTTTCTCTTTTTTATCTCCCCACATGAGTAAAATAAGAAATTCAGAATCCTTTCACTCCTCCCTCTCTTCAGTGATGCCTTTAATTCCTCCTTTTTCTCATGGGCCACTATCTGAACACCCAGGTTTTATACAGATAGGTTGGTATTTATTCTAATTTCCTTTAATACCAGGTCCCTTTTGTTTTGGCTTCTTATTTAGCACTTGTATTTTATACATCCTTCCATAGTCTTACCATGTCAACTTGGAATTAATGTGTGTGTGTGTGTGTGTGTGTGTGTGTGTACACATACCACATGTGGGTACACAGAGAAGAGAAAATAGTAGGAGGTCACAGATTAAAGTTCATTGCCCACGCTGTTTTCTTCCTTCTCCATCTGTCTCCATTTGCCTATTCTTTGCAGTCTGATTGAAATCTTTCCTCAAATATTTTCTTAGGTGTGACTAATTATCTTCTAGATCCTCATGTTGCAGATGAAAAGATTAACGGCAGTTGAATTACCTTTCTCTTGCAGATAGCCTACCCTTTCTGCCTGGAGTGCCAACTGATATGAGGCCAACTGACTGTTCTTCCCTGCGGAGGTGTCTAAAGAAATCCTGTTTCTCTGATGGTGTCCCTATACTCTCCCTGTCTCAAGGGCTAGGGAAGACTCAGTCATTTGTGTGGGTCTTTGTTGCCCTATTGTGAATTAGGGAAACCAACCATGTGCAAATAGGACCACAGCTGACTTTATAAGTGGGTCCACAGGTCCTTGATCACCAAACTCCTCCCAGGATCTGAAACTTTCTGGTTCTCAGCCTTGGAGTCTAATGTTCTTTTCTTGTTTGGCCCATGTGGGAGAAGGCATCAGATATCAGGGTCTCCCTGAACAGTACCCAAGGTTTTAGACTTAGAATTCCTAGAAGCTGGTTTGTTCAGGAGCGACAAATACTTTGGAGATAGGAAGGAAGGAGAAGGGAGCCTCATTCAGGTTATATGGTTCCCTGAACATCTCTACAAATGAGGCTGATTTTATGATAGGGCTTATCTTATTGGACTGTAATGTTTTGTTCCATGAATATCGCTCCTACTAGATGATAGATTCTTTTAGGGCAGGGATAAACAAACTGATAGAAACTGATGGTTATATTATTTTAGGGTCATAAAACAAATGAAACTTTGGAAAACACTCAGGGTGGCGCAGGGAATGGATGATTGACAAGTCATTACTGAATTCATATGAATTAAACCACTCTGATTTCCAATGATCTTCTCACAGGTCATAACCAGTGATTTTCTATGTTAGATCAAATGAGAATTCACAGTGATTAATTTATAAAAGAGAGATGTCAGCTTATATGTATGGATATGTTCTTACAACTTAACATATGAAGGGCAAAATATGTGAAAGGATTTCTTAGTTATAAATTATTTAACAATAAAAATGATCACTTACAGGGGCACCTGGGTGGCTCAGTCGGTTAAGTGTCTGCCTTCGGCTCAGGTCATGATCCCAGGGTCCTAGGACTGATCCCCACATCGGGCTCCCTGCTCAGCAGAGAGCCTGTTTCTCCCTCTGCCTGATCCCCCTGCTTGTGCTCTCTCTCTCTCTCAAATAAATGAATAAAATCTTTTAAAAAAATGATCACTTACCAGGTAAACATAAGCTTAGAATAACCTCTTTGTCTAGACAAGTGTTTGAGAGAATAAGATCCTCCTCTTCACTTAATTGAAGATTTTGTGTTTTAACAGGAGGCTTCAAAATATTTTCCAAGAATGGAAGGTGAATAGGTCAAAAAATATATAGAAATGTCTGTTGTTTCCAAACATCTTCCACAGCTTAGAAACAAAAGTAAGTAACCATCAGATTGATAACATACACAAGTTCAACCAATATTATAAAATTCTTCCATATCTAAATAATATAAAAGAAAAGTTACCTTAATATGATACAATGGATGAATTTAATGCTAGGATAATTTAAATTTACTAAATTACAATTTTTCTTTTCAAAATTAACCTTTAAATAGACATCAAAGTCATGATGCCACACTGTTAGGGGTATTGATTTTATTATCTTTATTATAAAATAATATGATCTAGTTTTTATTTATTTATTTATTCATTTATATTTTTCTTAAGTAGGCAGCATGCCCAGCATGGAGCCAAACATGGGGCTTGAACTCACAACCCTCAGATCAGGAGTTGGCTGCTTAACTGACTGAGCCACCCAGATGTCCCTGATCTAGCTTCTATTTTTTATTTATTTTTTATTTTTATTTTTTATTTTTATTTTTTATTTGACAGAGATAGAGACAGCAAGAGAGGGAACACAAGCAGGGGAAGTGAGAGAGGGAGAAGCAGGCCTCCCGCCAAGCAGGGAGCCTGATGCGGGGCTCGATCCCAGGACCCTGAGATCATGACCTGAGCCAAAGGCAGTCGCTTAACCAACTGAGCCATCCAGGTGCCCCCTGATCTAGCTTTTAAGGCCAACAGTAGGTTAATTCCAAATACAAAAAACTGCTTGTCAAGCTTATGAATTATTGTACCTGACAGAACATGAGATTACTAATTACAATTTTATTCAAGCAGCACAGATAACTGTATTTCTTATTTTTAAATTAAAATGTAGTAGTAGGTTAATCTTAACTTGGGTTTTTGGTCATTCCTTTTAAGAGTTAATGAAATTTTTCATTATCCTAATCATGAGATCATAATTGATGTTTTGTTTTTCCTATAAATCAAACAAAATTATAGAAGTAGTAGCTATAGTAAATCTCTTGCAGAGCTCCCAAGCTGGTAGCCTATGCATTAAATTTGGACCACAGCTATGGTTTGTTTAGTTATAAAGTATTTTGAATAAAATTAACTTGTATAAAAATGACAGATTTCATATAAAATGTTGAGTTTCAAGCTTCCCTATAAAAAAATCAGAAGATCTCATAAAACATTGGGCTTGAATTCAAATGCCTGACCACAGAGAGCTGATACGAATTAGTGGATACCCCTTTTGGATTGGCATGTCATTTCCAGTTCACCACAAACCCTACCACTCCACTGTACCCCTAATAGTGTGGCAGGGTCTCAGTTACCATTTTCTTGATACTTTCCTGTTGGTTTTACTATAGTAAAAATCAATTTCCCTATACATATTTATATCTCTGTGTTAAGTGGGAAAAGGAAAAATAGCCTGAGAAGGCCATACATTTCAAGCAAAACAATGGTACATATATATTTACATGTTTGATAATTAAGTACCCCCTGGATCTCTGATCTGTCTGGCTCCTAAAGGCATCTCAGTTTGCTACCTTCGAGTTAATGACCAAAAATAAATCAAATTAACAACCTTTTAGTAAAAACTTGAGATCATAAATAGCCTCTAATCAATCAGTCCACGTCTGTTAGTACCAAACTTTCGGCATGGCACTGAACAAGTGTTAGAAAAAAATACATAAAAACTAGTGGACCTTCAGCAGCCATACCATAAGTAAGGAGGCTAGGATAGCCACTTATGAAATGGGCAAAGGCAAATTTTATGAAGTCACCGAGAAATACAAGTAGATATATTATAAATAAATCCAAATCTGGAAAAAAGAGTATTCAGCAAGAGCATCAAGGCAGAACATTAATTTATTCAACAAATATTTATTGAGACCTATTTTGTGCTTGGCACTGTTCTAGGTACCAAGGATATAATGGTAACCCAAACAGGCAAAAATCCTTGCCTTAATGGAGCTTATATTCTATGGCGGGGAGGGGGGCAATAAACAAACAAACAAACAAACAAACAAAAAGTGAAATATGTACTGTGTTTGTTAGTGGTAAGTTCTATGGAGAGAAATTGATCAGAAAAGAAGAGAAGCAGTGCAAGATGGGGTAGTATTGTAATTTTAAATAAGATGTGCAGGAACTATCACTGGGAAGATTATATTTAAACAAGGATCTGAAGGAGACAGAGCAGAGAAATGTGCATGTCTAGAACATACTAGCCCAATGCAGTGATGATAAACAGAATAGCTAGTTCTGTGTAGAGAAATCAAACTCAAGATGGATATATTTTTTAAAAGATTTATTTATTTATTTGAGAGAGAGAGCAGGGAGGTTTGGGGGGAGGGGCAGATGGAGAGGGAGAAGGACAAGCTGACTCCCCACTGAGGACAGAACCCAACACGGGGCTAGATCCCAGGACCCTGAGATCATGACCTGAGCCAAAATCAAGAGTCGGCCGCATAACCGATTGTACTACCCAGGCCCCCCCCAAACTCAAGAAGGATATTGTGGCAACACATACCATCACCATGGTTATCTTTATGAAGCACGTCATCCTCAGTGATCATTGTGCTGAGTGGAGGATACAAGGGGGGTAGACTCTGCATTTGATGAATGTACAATCTATCCAGTGTTTAGGATAGCCTATATACATACATATACATGTGCATATAGGTATGTATATATAGAATGTATATATAAAAAGAAAATATTTATTCAATGAGGAGACTGTACTTGCACCATTCATCCATTAAACATTTACACACCTTCCGACAGCTAGGCCCTGTGCCATTCAATGGGGATACAATGGTGAACAAGAAAAGGACTGTCCCTAAGTACCTCACACTCTAGTGGGAATAAAGACAAGTAAGTAAACAGGCAATTTCATTAAGTGTGCAAATGTTTTGGTAGGAGGAGTACAGTGTGTTCAGTAGGATGCAAACTTTGTTTCCACTGAGGAAACCTTTGTCCAAACATATTCTGGAAGTCAAGTAAAACATATTAACAGTGGAGTTGCTCTAGCTGATACAGGCATTCCTGAGACCTACCCCACAGAGATGAGGGAGAGGTTCTATTCTGCACCCTAACATTTCTAAAACAACACATGAAATATTAGTCATGATATTATTAGTAAAAAACCAAATAACTGTAAAAAGCAAACAAATGTCAGCAAAGGTGGTTCACCTTAACTGTTCATGCCAAACAGATGCAAATTTGCAGTGAAACCTGCAGGGATCACACTGCTTTACCCCTGCTGGCAGTCCTCAACTCAAGTGAAGTAGTTTCTACAGTTATTTGGAAATTAAGAAATGGCTTTTCTCAAAAATAGAGGAACTAATACTTCTGTTTCTTGGATGAAATTTATATAGGTGCGTTGCCAATTGTATACCTTTAACCAGCCTTTCTTTTTTTTTAAATAAGTTCTACACCCAACATGGGGCTTGAACTTACAACCCTGAGATCAAGAGTCACATGCTTTATTTATTTATTTATATTATTTATTTATTTACTTATTTGAAAGAGCGAGCGCGAATGAGAGCACGAGTAGGAGGGGAGGGTCAGAGGGAGAGAGAGAAGCAGACTCCCCACTGAGCAGGGTGCCCAATGGGGGGGGGCGCTCTATCCCAAGACCCCAGGATCATGACCTGAGCCAAATGCAGATGCTTAACCAACTGAGCCACCCAGGCGCCCTAAGAGTCACATGCTCTTATCAACAATAGCCAAATTATGGAAAGAGCCCAAATGTCCATTGACCAATGAATGGGTAAAGAAGAGGTGGTATACAGATGCAATGGAATATTACTCAGCCATCAAAAAGAATGAAATCTTGGGGTGCCTGGGTGGCTCAGTCATTAAGCGTCTGCCTTCAGCTCAGGTCATGATCCCAGGGTCCTGGGATCGAGCCCCGCATCGGGCTCCCTGCTCCGCGGGAAGCCTGCTTCTCCCTCTCCCATTCCCCCTGCTTGTGTTCCCTCTCTGGCTGTGTCTCTCTCTGTCAAATAAATAAATAAAATCTTTAAAAAAAAAAAAAAGAATGAAATCTTGCCATTTGCAACAGTGTGGGTGGAGCTAGAGAGTATTATGCTAAGTGAAATGAGTCGGAGAAAGACAAATACCATATGATTTCACTCATATGTGTAATTTGAGAAACAAAACAGATGAATGTGGGGGAAAGAGAAAAAAGAGAGGTAAACCATAAGAGAGACTCTTAACTATAGAGAACAAACTGAGGGTTGCTGGAGGGGAGGTGGGTGGGGGGGATGGGCTAAATATGTGATGGATATTAAGGAAGGCACTTACTGTGATGAGCACTGGGTGTTATATGCAAGTGTTAAAACACTAAATTCTTCTCTGAAACTAATATACTATATGTTAACTAACTAGAATTTAAATAAAAACTTGAAACATAAAAAAAAGTCACGTGCTCTGCCAACTGAGCCAGCCTGGACCTCTAACCAGTCATGTTTTGCCAAATAGAAAGTGGCTTAAATGTTCTTGTTGGCCAGCTAATTATTTAATTTTATTAAGCCAGATAGTGTCTATATTGTTTTATTCCTAATTTTATGTCTGTTAATATGTCTGATGGGGTTGTTTTGTGCTTGAGGATCACAGAAAAATCAGATTTCAGTGGATAACAACAACAGCGAAAACTCCATTCATGCCTGATTTGTTAGAAATTGGAGAAACTTCCGAATGCACTTTCTCCAAAAAATTTTGGTTTGAAAATTTATCTTCTAAGCAAGTGAATTTTTTTTTGCATTAAATACAAGAGCAGTCAGTCAATTTTAAAGTTAGTTCTCTTTTGCAAGCCTTTTTACAAACAAAAACGAAGAACAACAACAACAAAAAACCCCCAAACTACTAGATTTAAAAGGCTTTTGAAGATAAAGAGATTTCTTATTAGTAACATATTAAAAACTCCTCTGAAAACTATGCTTTTGTTAGAAAGAACAACTAAAATAATTTTTGTTTTTCTATTCTGAAGGCTGACACATTCAGTTGTGACAAAGAGCAAACATACCAAATACATTTCACTCATTCTCATTTCATGTTAACAATACTTTGCTGCAACAATAATGATAAAACACTGATAAAAATATGGAAATCTAAGTCTGAATCTTGTTGTCATTAGTTAAGTGTGGAAACTTGGCAAATTATCTAATTTCTCTAAGTCTGTTTCCTTATCTATAAAATAATCAGTCTAAACTAAAGCAGTGGTTCCCAGACTTGGCTGATCTTTGTTTTAATACAAAAACTCTCTTCTTAATTTTGATAAATCTTAATAGTTTATTCTTTTGTGACTTAATGCTTAAAATTACTGGCTAAATGCAATAGTATTAAATCTACACATATTCCTCCTGATTTCATCTAACATTTTCTGTTGAATATATCACATATAAAAGAGTATATAAAAACATATGTACCACTTAAAGTATTTTGGGAGGGCCTGGGTGGCTCAGTCGGTTGAGCGTCTGACTCTTGGTTTTGGCTCGGGTAGTGATCTCAGGGTCATGGGATTGAGTGGACTCTGCACTCAATGCCAGGTCAGCTTGAGATTCTCTCCCTTTCCATCTGCCCCTTCCACCACTTGAGCTCTCGCTCTCTTTAAAATAAAAAAAATAAAAAAAATAAAGTGAGAGATATATATTAGGGAGGGAAGAGACCTAAAATACCATTCTCCTCTGCAGAAAATTAATAGATGTACCTAAAACTGAAAGATCGTGAGATGGCATTATAAGCATGCTATTTAGAAATATGAGATACAAGTTGTAAATTGTTGTCTCGGGGAGGAGAGGGGAAATGAGTGAGAGGAGAAGGGTAGGGAACTCCTAGTTTTCATTAATAAAACCTGTAGGACTATTCGAATGTTTCACATTCAATAATAATAACATTTCAAAACGTACATCAGAATGCCAGCTTTCTTTTCCTACTGTGTCTTAAGTATTTATTTATCCTTCTGAGTCTCAGTTTCCCTAACTATAAAATGAGAGTTTTAACCCTTACTTTACAGACCTATTGTTAGATTATAAATAATACATACAAAATGCATAATAGATTGCTTAGCAAGGGAAAGGCCCAGTAACTGGAAACTATTTTTATTAACATATTTACTGATAAATTACACCCATCTTTAGTTAAGAATTTCTAGAAGTACCCTTTATCCTCAAGGGTAAATGATGGGACAACTTTTTTTTTTTTTTTTGTAGTAGATAAGAATCACTTTTGCTTGGCTCCTCTTCTTCTGAGTGTCTATTAGTATTCCTCAGAGTTCTCTTTTAGTCCCACTTCTCTTCTTATTGCCCTTTCTTTGGGCACTTTGTCTTTCCCTTATCACACTTCTCCTAATTATTGTTATCTTTTGCTCCTCCAAGGTGCAAATCATTCTTGTCTTGCTTCTGTAATGGTTTGACCAAATACAGTAAAAGATGCAACCATTAATGAATTATGTATGCATCCCTCTTAACTGCCCTGGGTATGGGGCTCTTCTTTCCACCTTTAGTGGCATCATAAGGAGAAAACCACAAGTAGATGAAGTAAATAGTAAAGAGAAGTAGAGCAACAGATTGCTTAGTTTGTCCTGAAAAGTAAAGGGTAGGGAGATGTTTGGGAAGGGTCGTAGAAGATGGTCTTGGATTATAAATAGTAAGGACTGGTAATGAGTCTACATGTCTTTTTTCTGGTAGTATGGATTATAGCACCTCAGTTAATCTGATCATGGTCATTGTAAAAAACAAATGTTATTGGATCTATGTTGCCTCACCTGTCTTGTGTGATATAATGTAGATGTAGAAGGAAACGCTAATAGAGGTGTAGAGAATCAGTACACCAAATACACTACTTTTATCATATTTGAAAAGTCAATTTTTGGAGACAGTAAAGAGATCAGTGGTTACCAGCAGTTAGGGGGAAGGAAAAAAAGATAAGTGAAGCAGAGAGGATTTTTAGGGCAATGAAACTATTCTGTATGATTCTATTGGCGGGTACATGTCATTATACATTTGTCAAAACCCGTATAATATACAACACGAAGAGTGAACACTAGTGTAAACTATAGGCTTTGGGTGATAATGATGTAGCAAAGGAAGTTCACAGATTTTAACAAATATATCACTTTGGTACAGGATGTTGATACCTATGGGGGCAGGGGATACATGGGGACTCTACTTTCTGCTCAATTTTTTTGTGAACCTAAAACTGTTCTAAAAATAATTTAAAAAATCAGTTCTTCCTTACAAAGTTCTGGAAAAAATAATGAAAACTGAAATTACCTTTTTTTGAAAGTGAGAGAACAGGTTTATCAACTATGATATTTGGAGGTAAAGCCATATTCCCACTCATTGTATGAATAGGTTCCTCTATTCTTTCCTCACCAATCTCTTGTGCTAGAGGATTTGAAATCATTTCATCTCCTGGTCTGTTAAGAAATAATATGTGGACTTTCTTATATTATATGTGGGATCAAATTTCAAATATACATTTTAACTTATTAAAACTTATTTAGACATTCCCTATTTCCACAAAGGATTTCAGGGAGCTTACAATAAAAAACACAAGTAATAAATTTATTAGATAATAGAATGTCACCAGAAGAGGACAAATTAGGATTGTAAATAAAAGAATATATACTAATTCTAAAGTTAACATGATTACTATGATGTAATATAAAATTTTTACTGTGAGTTTCCAGATAACCTTGGCTATTTTTACTTTGGCTAAGTCACTTTCAAAATTATAAAGCATATAATTCATCGAAGAAGATACAAGTTCTTCCTTGTATAAATTCTGAAAAAAATTTATGTGGTAATGTCTTCCATAACGGTTTTAGAGCAAACACAGACATGGATTAATTTTCACATGGCTTTTCTTTTATTGGCTTCTGAATAAAACTGAAAGCATAATATTTAAGTTGAGCTCAATGAAGTCTGTTCTGTCAGAGTCTAAACACAATATATTACAGTATATTGGCTAACACTAACCTTAAAGATTCCTTTGCTTTTATTTCATCAGTTAACCCATTCCCAGAATCCTTTTCTTCTTTTGCAAAAAACATAAGATGATTTATTGTCTAGAAAACTGTAGAGACTACTGTTTGAATCTTCAAATTCTAATTCCTTTTCATTTTTCAATAGTTTCATTCCTACTAGTTCAAATACTTTGATTCATTAAAACATGGCAAAGACAAACTCCTTTGAGAGAGGTGTCATCGCACTACTTAGGCATGTATTTTGCATAAGATGACTTAATACTACATCAACAGCAACAGAACCAGTAAAATAGTCTTTGTATGTTCATAAATGATGTCTCCTTTTTATTTCCACTTGAGTCTGAAGGGAGTGAATAATACCACCCCATAACTGATTGAAAAGGACCAGAGGGCGCCTGGGTGGCTCAGTTGGTTAAGCGACTGCCTTCGGCTCAGGTCATGATCCTGGAGTCCCGGGATCGAGTCCCGCATCGGGCTCCCTGCTCGGCAGGGAGTCTGCTTCTCCCTCTGACTCTCCTCCCTCTCATGCTCTCTTATCTCATTCTCTCTGTCTCAAATAAATAAAAATAAAAAATCTTTAAAAAAAAAAAAAGAAAAGGACCAGAGCATCCTGAAAAGAAAAAAAATTAAACATGTTTCTTACAAATTTAGATCACACAAAAATATGTAGGTTTCCCAGTTTTGACAACCTTATGCTTTTATATGGCGTATCTGTTGCCAGTGTCTCTCTTAAGTTTCTTCTCCTCCCATCTTATGTAAACCATAATCTATTTACTAAGACTGCACCATGTTTGTCTGCCAATAAAAACAGAGTAAACCCAGGAACTTGCTTCACTGATATGAAATATATTATTGTGTGAATTTATACACCCTTAGTGTTACATGAGTAACTACTAGCTACACTTAATCTTGAAGAATATTATTTTAGGGCATATTTAAAAGGAATGCACGCACACATTGGAGTCTTGATTATTAGAATTGTGGCTTCATGAGGCTTTTTGCTTTTTCTTTCTTCTTTTTGCCTTTCTTGACCAATGGCAAGCTCTTATGAAAGAGATCTAGGTCAAGGAGCTGAACAAAACTAATCAATTTATCTGCCAGTTGTTCTGTAAGGAAAAGTTTGTGAGGAATAATGAAAACCTGAAAACAATAAAAATATTCATCATCTGGGAACATTTAAATAAATTATGTCATAGCCTTCCTGTGGAATATTAAACAGCCAATTTGGAAGAATGAGATTTATAGCATGGAAGGATTTCATTAAGTAGGAAAAACAAAACAAAAATGAAGAGCAAGTAGAAAATGTATATACTATCATCTTAGTTATATAAAAATGAATTCCTGAATTATACACAAATATATGTAAATAAAAAGAAAGGTCTAGAAGGCTAACTTTCAAACAATTAACCTTTGTGTTCACTTTTTATTATATATATTTGTGAACTTTTTAATATACATACATACATTTTTTCAATTAATTGGAGACAGTAAAATTTTTTCATTGATATATATATAATTCACATACCACAAATTCACCTTTATTTTTTAAATTTATTTTTAAATTATTTTTTTAAAGATTTTTTTTATTTATTTGAGAGAGAGAGAGAGGGAGTGTGAGAAAGAGCATGAGCAATTGGGAGAGGGAGAAGCAGGCTTCCCAATGAGCAGGGAGCCCAAGGTGAGACTGGATCCCAGGACCCTGGGATCATCACCTGAGCCGAAGGCAGCCGCTTAACCAACTGAGCTACTCAGGGGTCCCTATTTTTAAATTATTATTATTTTTTTAGTAGGCTCTATGCCCAAGGTGGGGCATGTGAATTCATGACCCCATGATCAAGAATCACCTGTTCTAACAACCAGGCACCCCGGAATTCACCCTTTTATAATGTAGAATTCAATAGTTTTTTTTTTTAGTACACTCACAAAGTTGTGCAACCATCACTATTATTTAATTTCAGATCATTTCATCATTTCAAAAAGAAACCCATACATTAGCAGCCACTCCTCATTCTTCTCTACCCCAGTGAATTTTTAATTAAACAATTTTAAGAATAAGGGAATCAATTGAAACATCTAGACTGTTGTTTCTAGGTCTTTTGTTATTAGAATCCAAGAATTTAAGCTCTCTCTTCCTTTGACTGGAAAGGGGATGCCCAATTTTACATAATGTTCTGATGTTATGACAAAATGACAGAAATAAAAGCCCCATCACCTTAAAATGTCTTTCGTAACAGAAACTGTCCATCTGTTTATCCTTGAAATATTAGCCGAAGACCCTGTGAATCGTGCGGAGACAGGAGTAAGGGGTAGAGGGTGAGGAGTGAAAAGGGAGGAATTAGAGGAGGAGGCGAGGGAGTGATGGGCGAGTGGGTAAGAGGGTAGGATGGAGTGGGGTGGAAAAGGCTGAGTCTATGATCGGTGCAGACAAGGGTATGACCATCTGTGTCTCTAACCTTCATTGAACAAGTAGGCTGGGTTAAGGATATGATTCTCATGATTGCCACCTCGTCCTTTAACCCTTTGTTGTTCTAAGCGTAGCCTGCCGACCAGCAGCATTGGCATCATCTGGGCACTTATTAGAAAGGCAGAGTATCAGACCCTATTCCTGAATCCAAAGTGCATTTTAACAAAGTCCTCAGATGATTCGTGTGCATATTAATGTTTGTGAAGCACTGCCTTCCTGAACAGCCCAGAGAGAGTAGCTCGGGAAAAAGCGGAGTACGATTCTTCACCCAGGACAAGGAGGGCAGGTAGGCTGGGAAAGGGCCAAGCCCAAACCACCCGCTTCTGAGGGCTGCCCTTCCCTTCAGGACACATTTGGTTAGGATCTATAGGGCTCTCTGTCCTCTTTTTCCGGCAGAAGGCACTGTTACGGCTCACAAAACTCTGCCAGCTCGGTCGGGCCCGGAAAGCCGGCTCTGGCTGCCAAGGTTACCGAACCGCGGGGTCGAAAAAACCGCCACCAACTCGCGCTCCGGCCCCTCCCCTGACTCGTAACCCCGCCCCCGAGTACCAGGTTGGGGCGGGGCCCAAGGAGCATAGGCCCGCCCCTTCCGAACCTGCCGGAAGTGACGTCATGCCCAGGCCGGCCGGTCTTTAGGTCTTTTCCCCCCTCCCGTACTCTTCTTCCCCAGTCCCTCCCCTCCCCTCTCCCTTCCCTCCTCCGCCTCCTGCCTTTGAGGCCGCTCGGATGCAGGAGGCTATGGAGTAAGCCGGCGGCAGCGGCCAGGCTCTGAGGCTGAGCAGGTGCAGCTAGGAAGCGTTTGCGGGGGGGGCGGGGGAAACAAGCCCCAGCACCGCCCCTCCCGGGAAAGAGGGGAAGAGGTGAGTGACCGCCCACGGGCACCGGGCGATCTCCTTCACCTGCTACACTCCCTCCTGGGCTCTTAAGGCTAGCGAGGAGGGAATGGGGAAGGACCCGCACCCGAGGTAGGCCTTCCCAAGGCCCTTAGAGCTGGTGACTGTTGCCTGGTGACGGGCCTGCCGGCTGCGGGCCGGGACGGTGGGCGCCCGCGTGAAGCCGGGCTGGGGGAGCGGCGAGCTCCGGGGAGCAGATCCGAGAGGCCCGAGTCCCCCAAAGAGGCCTTGAGGCGACGGGAGACCAGGGCCGGAGTCATCTGCGGGAGGGAGAGCCCTTCTCTCAGGCCCTGGAGCTCGGGTTTCCGCGGTGGAGTTCTCGGTTCCCTTTTGGGAAATTGGACACTACTCCGCGACTGGGTGAGACAGCTCGTCAGTTCTGAGGTCTGCACCTGATTACCTAGGTTACCGAACAGCGCTCTACCGCCAGGCGTCCTTTTCAGACAGTAGCTATAGTTCTGGAACGGAAGGTTATTGTGTGTGAGGTGGGTGGGGCAGGTGTTTTGTGAAGACTAACACCTCCCTCGGTGGCTCCTGCACTCTTGTTTTTCTAAGCGGGAGAGAAAGGGTGGAGGAAGGTTTAGAGCGATAAAGCTTGCGAAACTTCTTGGGATCCGACTAAATACGTACCTCTGATCACTGATTAAGGAGACCAATACTGTCAGGTCAACCCCTATAACAGTCTTCAATGAGACTGGACTCGAGTGACTTAAAAGTGCCATGTCAGTAGTGACTTAAAATTGTAAGTGCAAACTAGTTTTTTGTAGATCAAATTCAGGGATTATTTGTATGATGACTTTTTTTTTTTTTTGGATTCTGTGAATAAGTTTTATCCATTCTGGAAATTTAACATAGTTTAACGAGAATGCTCCAAACCTGTCGCTTTAAAACCCGATCATTTTCTGGTAATGGCTTGAAAGTCAGGTACTTGAAGCTTCCTTCTAGACTTTGCAGGCTTTTTTTGTTTGGCTTCCTGTCTTATTTTTTAATATAAATATTAATGTTAAAGCTTAAAAATGGTTTATCAGCTGAGTATATAAGTAGAATTCTTGAGACAGTATTAGTCATAAAAGACACTTGGAGGATTTTGTAAAGGGAAGGAACCTAGTGGAAGGTAAAAGGTAAGGACCTTCATTCTGTTCAGATCCATTTTACACACATGCCAAAACCTACCTATTCTTTTATCTCTGAGATCCATAAACACTCAATAAAAACAGACACATTGTACTTCTATACAATAGAATACCTCTGAACAATACCTACTCTTTGAAATTCATTATTTACCCCCCCCAGGTCCTTTTACTGTGCTTAATTCAAGTGACTAGCTTCATCATCCCTTTGTATAGGAGTAGAAGTGTGACATCTTCCTGTCTTGCATGACTCATATTCATCTTTCTTGAAGTCTATTAATTTGCCTCTTGAAAATGTCCACTCTTCCTTTTCACTACTAGTACTCTAGTTCCAGCCATCATCATCTCTCATCTGAAGTATAACCAGCTTCCTAATTATGGCTTATTTGCATTTACTGTGGCTGGATCTGTAGTTTTCCACACCAGATTGAGTGACTTTTTCAGAAATGCAGAGCTAATCACATTGTCTTCATGTGTAAAGCCCTTCAGTGACTTTCATTGTTTTTAAGAGAAACTAACATCCTTAACCTGTTTGGGTCCCTGGTTACCTTTCCAACCTCATCTCCACAGTGTGTTCTGGCATTCCTTTCTCCCCTAATTACTCTGTTCTTTCTGTTCTGCTTCAAGTACGTGGCTTTTGGTTATGATACTTTCTCTGCTTGGAAATGCACTTCTTTTCCTTTTCATCCAGTTACTACTGCCTGTTCAGTTCAGGGAAGACTTTCCTGGTTAGGAGAGATTCATATAATTATGTTCACATGACACCATTGCAGACTTGCCATATTTATTAATACTTAATAAATTAATGAGATGTTTCTCATGTGATACTGTGTAAGTGCTAAATAAATGTTTGTTAAAGGAATTCGTTCAGTGCTTACTAAATGTCCTAGAAATTATATTAAGCATTTTATGTGTCATCATCCTTAATCCAACAGCCACTTGATATATTTGGGTGGCATGTCCCCCTTCTTATGGATTAGAAATAGTGTTAGGGAGATAGTTGGTGGTCCCAGTGCTAGTACGTATTAGAACAGGCATTTGAAATCAGGTTTCCTTGCCACTGAAGATTGTGTACTTAATCACATAACATTTAATTCTCACACTGTGCATCAGAACACCTGGGAAGCTGCTCAAAATACAAATGCCCTGACTGCACTTTATAGATTCTGATTCCAAAGGTCTGAAATAGTAGGTAGGCATCTATGTGATTATCAAGTTGGCCAGTCATTTGGATGTTACTAGATGTATTTAGATGTTCATCAGTGTTTGAAAACCATTACCTTAGACAACAGTTCAGTGCTTTATGAGTTTCAGTTTTCACACATTCACTGTATTTCAGATTTTGTATGTTCTTAAAGCAAGGAGGAACTGTAGACCTAAGGAAGTGAGCTTAGTGGTCATTCTAATTTCCTACCCAGTTATTCCTTCTCCCCCTTCTCCAGCTGAAGGGGCTGAATAGTGAGATGCTACCCCAATGCTACTTTTTTTGAAATTATGGTAATTTTAAGAATCTGAGTGAGTTGCTGTAGTAAAAACTACGCTAAGTACGTGGGCATCAAGTGCCAGAAGAGTTGGATGTGATTTCTCCTCAGATCTTATTGTTCAGATTACTAGTTTGATATTTGAGCATATGTTGCCTTATAATTTCTCATGTTACTTTTTTAAGTCTTATGGTACAATGGTCTTAAGTTTGTAAATAGTGATGGAATGTTGTACTTCCTGTTTGTCCTACTGCACCTAGTATGGTACTTTACATGTAGTAGGTAACCAGTAATTTGTTGAACACATGTGTGCATCACTGTTCATTCCTAAGGCTCTTTAGTGTTTGTGTTTTTCTTAAATAGGTTTGTCTCCTGTAAGTAATCTGTTCTAGCTCAACTGATAATTACTAGATACTTTTTGTAGTTGTAAAGAGAATGGTTGTACTTGGCTGGTGTAATCTGAATAAGATAAAACATGATGGAAAGCCAATGTTAACTGTTTTTTTGAAAACTGTATCTTTTTAAAGCTTATAGTATTCTCTGAGTGCTCTCACAAGAAACAAAAATGTATTTCAAGAATATATCTCAGAATCATCTTACTTTAGATGTAAATAGATAAGCACTGCATATGGGAATGTAAGGTACGACATTTTCCCCAAATTTTATGAATCACTTTGCCAAAAGTATTTGTGTCATGTTAATGTAATTCTTATTTTGAATCACAAAATTTCATTTTATGAATACTTAGCTATATAAATCACTGTAAGGTGGTATTCTTTTATTTTTAGGCATTTACATAGAAAGAAATCTCAGACACTTGTGCCTCTTTAAGGAATAAAACAAACTATTTTGAATTCATTGGTATTTATTTGTATTGTTCATTAGTGGTCAGTGTGTATTATTTTGTGCTTATTGAAAGCCTAGTTTCTGCTAGGTGCCATGAGACTAACCAGTACTAAACATAATTTCATTATCAGATGTAATTACAGTAACTGTTTTATTTGCATTACAGTATTTCCATAATACATAAATATATAAATGCAAACTAATTCTACTTTTTAATATTTTATTCTTGGGGAATTAAGGGACTCTTTGCAGTTGTGTTACTTACAAATGCAGGATTTTTTTTAGCATAAATCTGATTTTACTCACTATATTCCTGCTATCTCTAGAGTTTATGAGTAGGCAGAACTGAAGGAATTGCCAATTCCTTTCAGCTACCTGCCATTAGGTGCTGTAACAGTCAACGCACCTTCTGGCAGGTGCATGTAAAATTAAGTTTGCATCAGATTTACCTTCTGGTTCTACCAAAAACCAAGTGATGGCTGAGCCAGATGGTAGAGAGATATACTCTTGGAATCATAATTAAGTTGTCCCAAATCTTACTTTGACTGAGATTTAGGAGGGAAAGATGATTGACTTTTTTTTTTTTAAAGATTTTTTATTTTTTTATTTTATTGAGAGAGACAGAGAGAGAGCATGAGAGAGAGGAGGGTCAGAGAGAGAAGCAGACCCCCTGCTGAGCAGGGAGCCCGATGTGGGACTCGATCCTGGGACTCCAGGATCATGACCTGAGCCGAAGGCAGTCGCTTAACCAACTGAGCCACCCAGGCGCCCCAAGATGATTGACTTTCAAGTAAATTCTGCTAAATGGTGTACAAGGGGAAATGGCTTATATGAATGGACATTTCTGTCATTTATAGCTTTGTCTTTGGAAAAGATGGGCTTTTTTCTTCAACAATCAAGTGAAAATTTGAAAAGCTGTCATTTTAAGAAAAGATATTTGGACTCATATAAGGTTTCTTTTATGTTGCTAATAATTCAAAATCTCATTTAAGTTCAGGTCTTCTTTTAAAAGTTCTTCCAGTTCATCTGTCTTTAGCCTTCTGTTACTCTCATGATATTCTTGGGTCTCCTCGGCTAATCTTTTTCAGGGTTATAGCCTTAACTGCTGTACTGCTTATAAGCTCATGGTACCCAAAGTTTTGTCTTCAATCAAGACTTTTTTTCTAAGTTTTTGGCCTGTATATCTAAAAACCTACTAGATGTATCTCCATGTGAATGTCATTCAGGCAACTCAACTTCAACATGTCCAAAACTGAATTCTTCCTCTCACAAAACCAAGAGTTATCTCCTCTAAGTCCTGCCTGGATAAATGGCTTCACCCTCCACCTAGACTCTGAAATGGGAGACCTGATTGGGATTCCTAGTTGTGTTCCTTTCCTTTATCTAATTGGTCACTAAGTTCTCTTAGTTCTAACTCGTACTTGTTTCTTACTTTTTCCTTTCTTTTCCTTCCTTACTATTACCTTACTTGAGCAACCTCTCCCTCTGTTAAAATTTGTTTAAAATTTGACATATAGTACATAAAAATACATAGCAAAGTTTAATATGTAATTATAAAATAAATATCCACATAACATCTTTGAAACACCCCCTCTTCCCACCATCTCTTCCCTGTCTTCCCTGTCTCTAATTCCAAGTGTCCTTTCCTTTGTCTTCTTGCTTTGTATACATTCTAAATTATCTATATCTATATCTATATCATCTCTATCTATATCTATCTCATCCCTGAACTACATATTGATGTTCTCTTCAGTCTTGTCATATTCCCTGCTTCCACTCCTAGTATATCTTTCATTCTGCTTGATAGAGTGATTGATCTTACTCATGCTTGAAACCCTTCTGTGGCTTATGGCTTGATTGCTTACTACTAATTGCTCTTGGTGATCTGGCTTTTCTGTTTCTTTTGCCATATTTCCCTGTTTCCTCCAGCTTTTATCGGAATTGCTTTGTTTTTACTTTGTCTTTACTTCTATACTTCTCCCATTCTCTACTTCATTCCTGTTCACCTTTAGAGACACCTGTAGCATTACTGTTTTGCTAAAACCTTCTTCTCTCTGTTCCTGGTTTTTTGTTTGTTTGTTTTGTTGTTGTTGTTGTTCCTGTAAGACTTTGTATATATATTTTGTAGATTTTATCACTGTGGGCTAATGCTATGGTTGGTTTACTTCTCTGTCTCTTGCCCCTTTGATGGTAAGATCTCATGGCTTATTTTTCCTTCTTTCTCCCACATTTCTTACATAGTATCAGGTACACAGTGGGTTCTCAATAAATATTAAATAATTTACCAGGTGAATTTCCATGTCTATTCCTACCATGTGTATGCTTTACTGTTGGCTCTGTTTGGATGACAGATGAGCTTCTCAAATTTGAATATTACCTCTGAAAGTATCCTTTGTTTTCATACTGAGCTATTTGTAGTTCTCAAATCACATCATGGTCTTTCTCCCCTACTATAGCATGGTATGTACCTCTCTGTTAATTGCTGTAAATCTTTGCAGATCTGAGTCCATTGGCTACAGATTAAGTCCCTAAAGAGCAGAAATGTTTCCGTTTACATCTGTATTCCCAGTGTGTAGAACTAGTGCATGGCATATAATATGTAGCTACTCAGGCAGAATTAGAGGAATGGATATGTAGGTTTTAAATAGGGTTTTTATGTCCCTTCAGCTCCCCCATCAAAGTCAGCAGCAGATGTTCATAGAGAACAACTTGGCATAGCAATAAATATTTTCATAATGCCAATAGCAACATTTTCTAACTGCTCACAGAAATGCAGCATTAAATTAAAAAGGGAGAGTCTCTATTTCTGTTTACAGACAGTTCAAATCTTTCATAGAAGTAGGTCATATTTATATAAATATAATTTAATTAACAGAGAAAACTGGATACAAACTAGTGCTACTTTAGTCCAGTGACCTTCCAAATATTTTTGCTTGTGTGTTCTCTAAATAATTTTGAAAAACAGTGTACTCCTTTGCATGTTTTTAAGTTGATGGTATCTAAAAATTTTTTGTCCAGGGTTTAAAAAGGATCTAATTTCTAGGTTGTTGTATATTGTGATTATGTTTTACTTTTATCAAAACCTTGGAGTTTTTGCTTATTAATTGAAATAAACTTGTTCTGGGCGCCTGGGTGGCTCAGTTGGTTAAGCGACTGCCTTCGGCTCAGGTCATGATCCCAGAGTCCTGGGATCAAGTCCCACATCGGGCTCCCGGCTCAGCGGGGAGCCTGCTTCTCTCTCTGACCCTCTCCTCTGTCATGCTGTTTCTCTCTCGCTCGCTCTCCAATAAATAAATAAATAAAAACTTTAAAAAAAAAAACAAAACTTGTTCTTATACATCCATATGACAGCCATCTTATTTCTTAATTGTAATTCTGTGATAGATAAGGCATGGGGTCTCGCTGTTAATATCTGGAAGAAATAAAGCACAGCTTCTTTCAGTAATTTTTTCCAAATTTCTTTTTGCTTTATTTTACTTTTTTTAAAAGGTTTTACTTACTTACTTGACAGAGAAAGAGTGTGCGTGAGTGTGAAAGAACAAGCAGGGGGAGGGGTAAAGGCAGAGGGAGAAGCAGGCTCCCCGCTGAGCAAGGAGCATGATATGGAACTCCATCCCAGGACCCTGGCATCATGACCTGAGCCGAAGACAGATGCTTAACCAACTGAGCCACCCAGGCACCCCTCTTTTTTGCTTTATTCTTAAGAGACTTTCAGTTAATGCATTCTTGAATTACGTTTGCCCCATTCAAAGTTTTTTATATCCAGGGAAATGGCGTGTAATAAGATTGTGATGGCTGAGAAAAATACTTTTCTTTGGTCAAGTGGGAAAAAATTGTGAGGAAAGAGTTGGTTAAGGAAGATTTGTAGGACACAGACTTTGTCAGACAAATCAGTTTTAGGAAGGAGTAAACATGGAAGTGGAAGATTTGAAGAGTGAGAGGGTTTTAAGACCTTTTTGTGCCATGGACCCTTCACAGTCTAGTGAAGCCTGTGGACCCCTTCTCACAGAGTAATATTTTAGGATCAGCTTGTCAGTTTCTACAAAAGCCTCTGGGATTCTGATTGGATTGTATTGAGTCCATAGATCAGTGGGGAAATTGGTATCTTAACAATATTGAGTCTTTCAATTCATGAACACAGTCTTTCCTTTTAAGTCTTTGTCAGTTTCTCTCATCAATTTTTTTGTTGTTTTCATTGTGGAAGTCTTGTATATCTTGTTAAATTTATCCATGGGTATTTCATGTCCTTGAAATGGTATTTTGAAATTTCAGTGTTTGTTTCTAGTATATCAAAATAGTCTTTTTAAAAATGTTCCGTTCTTGTATTCTATAATGCTAAACTCATATTAGTTCTAGTTTTTTTGTAGATTCCTTCTGCCTTTCTGTGTACAAGATGTGAATACTTTTTATTTTGTTTTTCTTAATTGCTTTGGCTAGGACCTCCATTAGAATATTGAATTAAGGTGGTAAAAGTAGATATTTTTACTTTGTACCCAAACATAGGGAAAAAGCAATCAATTTTTTTATTTTTAAATATAATATTAGCTGTAGGTATTCAAAGATTCCATTTATCAGGTTGAGGAAGCCCTGCCCTGCCCTTCCCTTCCCTCTCTCTTTCTTCCTCCCTCCCTCTTTCTTCTCTCTCTTTTCCTTCCTTCCTTCCTTCCTTCCTTGTAGGCATCATGTCCAATGTGGGGCTTGAACTCACAGACTCAGATTAAGAGTCACATGCTCAATCTACTGAGCCAGCCAGGAGCCCTGAGGAAGTTTCTTTCTGTTCTTAGTTTGCTGAGAGTTTTTATTGTGGATGGGTGTTGAATTTTGTCAAAATTTTTTTCTGCTTTTATTGAGATGATTGTATGTCCCTCCTCCATTATTCAGTTAGTAAGGTGAATTACATGAATTTGTTTTTGAGTGTTAAATCAGCCTTGCATTCCTGAGATAAATCTCTCTTGGTCATCGAGTTGGATTTATTGGACTTGATGTACTAGTATTTTGTTAAGGATTTTTACATGTCGATGAAGGATATTGGTATGCAGTTTTCTTTTGTGTCATTTGTTGGTGTCAGGGCAATACTGACTATATAACATGACATGGAAGGTGTTCTCTTCTGTGTTCTGGAAAAGCTTGTACAGACCTGGTTATTATTTCTTCCTTAAATGTTTGATAGAATTCAGCAGTGAAGCCATTTGAACCTGGAGTTTATTTTGTGGTAAAGGTTGTAGTTATGAATTGGATTTCTTTTTTATAGGACTATTCTGGTTTTCTGTTCCTTCTTGAGTCAATTTTGGTAGTTTTGGCTTTCAAAGATTTTTTCCATTTCATTCAAGTTGTTGAATTAATTGGCATGAGATCATTTATAGTATACCTTATTGTTTAAAATCTATGGGATTTAAATAGGATTAAAATCTGTAGGATTTCCTCTATTTCTGATATTGACCATTTGTGTCTTTGAAATTTTTTCTTAATGTAGCTAGAGACTTATCTTTTTAAAACACTGGCTTCATTGATTTTTCTTTTTTCATTTCTCTACTAAATAGAGTATTACATTAAATTCAGTCTGTTTCATTGATTTCTACTCTTTATTTCCTTTTTTTCTACTTATTTTGCGTTTAGTTTTCTTTTTTTTTTTTTCCTAGCTTCCTAAGATGGAAGGTGAGACCACTGATTTTGGCATTTCCCCCCCCCCACCATATAAACATTTAAAGCTGTACTTTATCCACTAATCACTGCTTTACCTACATCCCATAGATATTTCATTTTCAGTCACCTCAAAGTATTTAAAATTTTTCTGTGATTTATTTATTTTATCCATTGGGTTATTGAGAAGTGTTTAATTTCCAAATATTTGCATTTTTTTCCTAGATATTTCTCTGTTACTGATTTCTAGTTTAATTTCATTGTGGTCAAAGAACATGTTTTATATTTCAGTAGTTTTAAATATGTTGAGATTTGTTTTATGGTCTGGAAGAATATAGTTTGTCTTACTGAGTGTTCCATGTACACGTGAAAACAAAATGCATTGTGCTGTTGTCAAGTGGGGTGTTTTGGGTCATGTTGTTTGATAGTGTCATTTAGGTCTTCTGTATCCATACTGATTTTTTGTCTACTCAGTCTAGTCCATCTGTTACTGAGAGAGGATCCTTGAAGTCTCCAATTATAATTGTAGATTTGTCTGTTTCTTTCAGTCATTTTTTGCTGTATTTATTTTAAAGCTCTTATTCAGTATGTACACATTTAGGATTTTATGTTTTTTTGATGAATTGACATCTTTGTTATTATGAAATGTTGCCTATTCTGTTTGTTATTAATATGGCCATTCTAGCTTGGTATATTTTCACATTCTTTTAGTTTTAAGTCATCTTGTAAAGTGGGTTTAAAGTGGATTTCTTTAGAGCAGCATATAATTGGATCTTGCTTTTTAATCTAGTTTGACAATCTCTGCCTTTTAATTTGAATTTTAAATCATTTGCACTTAATGTAATCATTTATAGGGTTGGATTTAAGTCTACTATCTTGCTATTTTCTACTTGTCACAATTATTCTTTGTTCCTTTCTTCCTCTTTTCCTACTTTTTGTATTCATTTTACTTTTAGGATTCCATTTTATTTCCATTATTGACCTTTTAGTTGTATCTCTCTTATTTTACTTATTAGTCTAGGATTTATTATATGTCTTTAATTTGCTATAATCTATTTTCAAGTGATATTGTGCTACCTAACATATAAGAATCTTCCAAAAATATACTTCCATTTCCCCTCTCCTGTCCTTGTTTGTCATATTTTTTACTTCTTCATAAGTCAATATGTTTTTGTTTTTGTTTTAGATGGTCAGTTATCTTCTAAAGACAACATGAGAAGTTTTTTTAAATATACCTGCATAATTTTTATTTCTAGTGTCCTACATTGTTTTTGTGGATTCACATTTCCATCTGGTATTTTTGTCCTTCTGTTTGAAGGACTTCTTTTAATATCTCTTGTAGTGAATACTTGCTGGCAACAAATTCTCTTAGATTTTGTTTTCCTGAAAAAATATTTCACATTTAATTTTAATTTAATTTAATTTAATTTTTTTTAAAGATTTTATTTATTTATTTGAGACAGA